CTCAGGCACATTAAGTACAAAACTCGCGCATATTAACATGACGCACATTATGTACAAATCTCAGGCACATTGAGTACAAATCTCACGCACATTAAGTGTAAACCTCACGCACATTAATCCACCGCACATCCGCACGGAAAGCAACAAATGCACTTGATCCCTTCCCTATATATATATATATATATATATATATATATATATATATATATATATATATATATATATATATGTATATATACATATATGTATATGTATATACATATGTATATATACATACATATATATATATATGTATGTATATATACATATATGTATGTATATACATACATATATGTATGTATACATACATATATATATATATATGTATGTATATATACATATGTATATACATATATATATATATATATATATATATACATATGTATATACATATATATATATATATATATATATATATATATATATATATATATATATATACACACATAAAAATCTAATAAGAGCCAATAATGTGAACAAAAAAATCGTCGGTAGTAGTTGTTTCTTAAAATGAATGGTTCATATTATGTTGATTTTAGTATTTTTTTTAATGATTTTTGTTATTTACCCTCTATTATATTATTTTCTTCCCTTAAATAACCCTAAATTCCGTTAGTATAAACTTTAGTAACGGAATATTCTGTTAACTCTTTATTATTCTTAACATACTCATTAATTTATATAAGAAAGGTCTTATGTTTGAGCCTCATCCCAATTAGAGTTGACATAATTGTTAAACATATACTATAAATATGTTAAAATGTATTAATATAAATATATATAATATAAAATTTAACATATACTTTGATCAAATAATTAGCCCGACTAAACACATAGCATTCAAAGTTGAGCATCAAAGATTATAAATCTGAAACTTTAAAATCAATTGATTTTCTTGAATTTGTTAAAAAAAATAAAACAAATTTAGGTTAAGTTTTTTTTTTTTTTTTTTTTTTTTTTTTTTTTACATTTAATTAATCTTCTTTTGATTATTTAGAACAAAACTTAGTATTTCAATTATGCTTTTGTATTATTGCAATGATTTAGGTCATTATGGTATTAATAATTTTTGTATTTTTTTTATAATGGTACAATTGTACATTATTTTACAAATATTATACTATTATTCTTTTTATTGGGCAAAATTGTTCTTACATTATTTTCAGATCTGTGCGGTCTAACTACAAAGTTGTTGATCATAAATACTATTACACATAGACTCTAAAACGGTAGGACCATTTTTCAAATAATTGACAATGTTAACATCCTACTAGCTCCAATTGAACAAGTTTACACATCAGAATTCTATCAATTCATGAAAAATTCTAAAGAAATTTGTAATTTAATTTTACTATATCATTATAACAATATCTATTTTAACCATATATTTTGAATTATTTATTATCATCCTGTAATGACAGCAATTGTAGCAATTGTCCTTGACAAACTCTCAAAACAATTTGTCTCAACAAGGAATGGAAATTAAAAAAAAAAATCATTGATTTCATTATTGTTGATGAAAAGTATGTACGACACTTTATTACTCTTATTAAATTAAATAAATTAGTAGCTACAACAAAAAATAATATATATGCATTTAATTAATTTAGAATTAGATGTCTTTAATGCTTTATTTAAAAAACATTATTCATTATAAAAAAATTTAAAAGAAATATAATTTCATTAGTTATATTATCTTTAATTTCTACAATTCAAAGATTCCTTACCTTCAAATTTATTAATTTATTATATTCACTACTTATATTCACTACATTGTCTATTGTCTTCTTTTTATATTATCTTGTAATTAAATATCAAAGATATAATACAAAACATGTTATATATATATATATATATATATATATATATATATATATATATATATATATATATATATATATTTATATATATATATATATATGTATATTTATTTATTTACCAAGTATTTTATACAAATATAATAAATATTAATACTTTGTTCAATACTTTCACGTGATAACCTACGACAAACATCTCACAACACATGAAACATGTAGGGGAAAAACTACCACTACTAAATATCAATAGGTGTTTGTAAGATAAAAGTTCATATTGTTGGTCCCGGTAGGGTCGAAAGAGAGTCTAGAGGGAGGGGGTGAATAGACTCTGCTCGAATTTAAAAAACAACTCATTTCGGAAGTTATGCACAGCGGAAAAATGTAAGTTTGTTTTAGGATAATCTTTGCACGGTTTGGTTATGGAAAATCTTAGGGTTTGGTCGGTATGAATGCAATGCCAGATAGATAGATAATCGAAAGTAAAGAGAGGGTGGGAGAGAGATTTTTATAGTGGTTCGGCTATTAACAAAGCCTACTACACTCTTCTTTCAAAACTCGTGAAAGGGTTTGCACTATCACTCCTAGTACAAACTAAACAAGCTAGCTTCCTTGATCACTAAGCCCGACGGCTACTCGTGTAGGTTTTTCAACTCCTCAAGTTTACTCCGCCTCTATCACCATCTTTTTCAGAGTTGAGGGTTGGAAGGAATCAATGATGTTCTCCAACTTGTGAAATCTTGACTTGATAAGTTTGACTCTTCAAATATAAGATGCAAGATTTTGTTGTGTTGTGAAGTCTTGAAGTCTAGATAATTTCTTTAAAAAAAAAAACATCACGACAACACACTGGTTTTGAAGGCTTTTGGATGATACTTGTTGACAAAGCTTTTGAATATATAGAATGAGTGAAAAACCAACACCTTCTTCAGTGGTGAAGAGAGGTATTTATAGGTGAGGAAAAATTCATCTGTTGGAGGGAGATGAAAAAATTCAAACCTATTATCCAGTGTGTAAAAACCTCTAGGCATAAAGCATTTAATGCGGTTGTACTGTGTAGCCGTTGGTTGCAAAAGTGGCTTGTCCTTTTGTCCTTTTTTCACTGTCAAAGGTACTAATCATTTAATGCTTCTTGGTTTTTGTGAATATCATTCATAGGACTCCTTTTGTCTAGGATGATTGCCCAGCAGTGAGACATAGATAAACATTCTTCTTGTTCATATGTTGAAGTTGTCTATTCAAGTCTGACTTAGACTTTTTAGTCTCGGGATCTATTAAACGAAAGATTGTCCTTATCTTCCGTTTTCCCTTCTAGTTAAGTGATCTTTCTTATCATTTGACGTTTACACGAGAGTTAGACCCTTCCATGTTTCGGTCCAAGTTGTCCTCTCGGCCTTCTCTTGATCTTCTCTTCATTAAGTAGACCTCATTGACTAAATACAACTCTGATTCGTGTAAATGTGCTACTAAGCACGAATCAGATGGTGAGTTGTGACTACTTTCGTCTAACACGAAAGATGCAAAATAATGAGAGTAAAAGAGGGGTCTACATTCCTAGTAAGTTTGGTATCATCAAAATCTAAATACATATGTTTCTAGCAAATTCTCCCTTTTTATGATGCCAAAACCTACACTCTTGTTATGAGGCTGAAAATTATACATTAAAGGATTTTCATTACGAAGTAGCCATATAGTTGAGTTTACAAGAGAAATCTAAGGAAGTTAACATAGTAAGAACGACTCGACACAGACAGCAAAAAGAAATTTCATTCAAGTTTAATGCATTACAAAAGAGATTGAAATAACTAGTTATTACATGTTCAATAACTTATCTCTGTGTGCAGCTTCTTGCATTACAAAAAGAATCTTTTTCTTCTCGCTTTCTTGCCAAAGTTTGGATGTCGAGTTCATCATTGAAGATCTTTCTGAAGGCTCGAATACCTTTGTCTCGAGCTTTTTCTGCATATTTGTTAGTGAAGGTGTAGTTGATGTAGTTGCTGTAGGCTTCGACTACATTTCTTCTTGGAAGGATTCCATTGTTCCACCAAATGACAAGTTCTATGGAATTCATCCCCTCGAGATAGCTTTTGCCTGATTCTTCATGAATTTTGAAGACAGCATTGTGTTTGGCATATGGATCAACATCAATTTCAATAGTGCTAAGGTCTTTGATTTTCTCTTGAATTCTCTGAAAGTAAGCGAGCTCTTGTTCTCTTCTTAGTTTGACTTCCTCTTCTTCTAGCCGCTTCCTTTCGTTTTCTTCTCTTATCTCTTTATTTCGAGCTCTCTGATATTCCTGCCTAGCTCGATTGTCTCGTCCTTTCATGTGGATAGGTATGTTGCATCCCTCAAAGCGTTTTCCACTGCCTGCAACATATTCTTCGAAAAGAAAGAATTGTCCTTCTACATCCAATGTCACAGTTTTGTCTCGCATCCATTTCCTTCGAATTTGCTTTCTTTCTTTTTGACTGGACTGACGAGTGCCTTTCGAATTTGACTTAGAGATGAGAGGTAAAGTAAGTTGTTTGGTCTTTTCTCCATCTCCTTTCGAGATGCTTCTTCCATCTCTACTCTCGTCCGCATTTGTCCTATCTCTTCTTTCACTGCCTCCTCCTCTTCTTTCATCATCCTTATCTCTTCTTTCCCCCTTTTTGGCATTATCCTTTGTCGAGGATAGAGGTTGAGTGAGAGCTCGAAGTGAGATCGAAATGTCACGCACATAATTCAGGGTGGCCAATTGATTTTCACCAATACGAAAGAGATCATCATGTACTGAGTCAACTTTCATGCATGCAAGATCAACTCGCTCCTTAAGGCTGAAATTTGAGTGTTTCATGTGATGATGTTCCCGAAGTATGTTTGGGTGATTCTCTTCAAGTTTCTATAGATTTACTTGAGTAAACGTCAAATCTTGAAGCAGTTGTTCCACAACTTTAGCCATATTTTCAAGTTCTGTTATCTTGACACTTGCTCTCTTCGTGTGTCGCAGTGTTTTCTTTAGCTCCTTGAAGTGTGCATCAGTTTCACAGACCGTATTTTGCCAAGTGCTGATAGAATGACTGTAGTCGTAAGACTATTGGTTGAGCGACCATGCATTTCTTGGTAACCACACTTGTCGTGTCTCGCACCAAACAATGCTTCCACATTTCAATCGTTGGCTGATCTCGAAGTTGTTTCACCATCATTATTGGCTGAAGATTTATCTTTTTCAACAGAACCCAAAACAGATGATGTGCGATACTGTTCTTTCGGGTCAGGAACATTCGGACTGGGATTGGAGTGAACTATCAGTGCTCTTCTACCACCTTCACCATCATCACCATCTTGATCATTGTATTCTCCATCATCATCAGCATGATCATCTTTCTTTGTGTCATCATCATTCTCTCCTTCGCCGTCTTCATCATCAATTTCTTCATCATTTTCTTCTTCTTCTTCTTCTTCATCAATTTCTTCTTCTCTTCCTTCATTAATTTCTTCTTTTCCTTCTTCATTTTCTTCATTTTCCTTTCCTCATTTCTTCTTTGTTGTGCTGCATTCGGGATCATTTTGATAGAGGTTTTCAAGTTCAGTTTTAATCCTTGAGAGCTCATTGCATCCCTCAGCTCTTTCATTTCGTCCTCATATGCTGGATCGAGTGGTGGTTTCTTCATATCTAAACAGATTGGAGATTTTCCTTTTCCAATGCTCTAGTTAGTTAGATTGTATAAATAAGCGCGGTTGATTGTTTCGATCTTTGTGGCATCATAGACATTTTGAGTGCCAAGCCATTCAAGAGAAAAAATTTCTTCACTTCTCATTTTGTCAAACTTTTCCAGAAAGGAGTCAGGAGGTGAAGTTCTCCATTGTTGCCAACTCATCACTCTGTGATAATCATTTGTAATGGCTTGTTGAAGATCATGATCCTGTGATGGAGGTGGTTTTTCATTCTGCTCATTAACCACTCCTTTCGTCTCTGCTGGCATGCCAAGTTCTTGTGGGAGACTTGAGTGATCAATAGGAGGGGGTTGAGACAAATTTTCGTCATTCTCTACTTCAGCAGGTTCTTGTGTCAGCGTCTTTTCGACCTGCTCTGCTTCAGTAGGCTCTTGTGGGAGGATCCTTTCGGCCTTCTTTGCCTCGGCAGGTTCTTGTGTAAGAGAGATATCGTTCTTCTGTGCTGTGGCAAGTTCTTGTGTAAGAGCTGAAGGATGCTTGAATTTGGGCAGTCCAATAGCATTTTCTTCCCCCTTAGCAATATGCTCGGGAGAATTCGTCTATTCCCCTGAACTTGATTCTTCAGATGTGTCGTGGTTTGGAACAATTTTTGGTTGTCCATATTGAGCAAGAGATTGGATTAATTTCTCATCCGAAGATTCTGATTGGAGCGGCTGTTGAGCTTCTTCCAGTAGTTGCTTCAATCTCGCTTCGGCCTGAGCAACTAGATTATCATCTGAACTTTCTTCGTCTGATGAACTTTAAATTTGAGTTGATTCAGAGGATGATCTGCTTCTCTTGTGAGCCTTTGAGGAAGGCCTGATTTCAAACTTCATCTTGATGAAAGTTTTTTCCCTCACAGGTTCTTTCGTCTCTTTTGTTGGTGGTTCAACTGTTGGAGGCTCAATTGGAGGGTTTGGAACAGATTCGGCCTGTAACACCCTAGATTTTCAAGACATTTAAAACTTATAAATAAAGGTATTATCCCCTTAAATCCCAAAACATAATACAAGTGTGCGGGGTGCTATGCCACACCTGAGCTAGAGAACCCAGGTGCACATGCTAACTAACTAATATCCTCAATAATGTAAATGCATAATATGGCACGCAGGCCGAAAAAGGGAACTATCTACTTCTACGTTCCGAGTTCTAGCGCGCTCCAGTGACTTATTCTTCTGTGCCTGAAAGCCAAATATATCTGTTCAGCGAGAGATGCTGGTAACCCACTCCAACGCGTTGAAATACAATACATATAGAGATATATATAGATATACGAAAACCATTTTGAGCATGAAGATATATCCTACGAACTCTAGTTTTAAAATCGGGAATGACTCAACAATTAAGGCTAGACGCCAGCAGTAGACATAGCAAGCATAAGCATTTCACAATAGATAAAGCAGTTACAACAAGGCATAAACGGTAATCATAATCCCATCATAAACAATCCCCAATATGAAACCCATAGTCACATCCCAAGGCATCATAGTCACGACTCGTCCATATCACACACATAGCGCACATTGTTGGCGCCACGGGACCGATCGCATGCCCATACATGAGGGTCAGCGCATATAGCTCTGACACAGCCCCGCAGCACCATGCCCCGTATCGCAACACGGGGAGGTCGATCGCAACCGACCGATGAACCGCAGTTCATCATAATGCTTGATCGCAACCAAACAGTGGACCGCAGCCCAAGAGAGTGTCATCTGACCGCAGCCAGGATAAAGGACGAACCGCAGCTCGTATAGAAACGTTTGATCGCAACCAAACGGTGGACCGCAGCCCAAGAGAATGTCATCTGACCGCAGCCAGGAATACCAGTCTGACCGCAGCCAGCTTCTGAACCGCAGCTCAGGATAACCAATCCGATCGCAACCGAATTGGGGTGGCACACACACATAACACATAGCAAGCACATGCAACCCACGTTTACACATTGGGAAGGGGGTAAAGCATATAACAAACCTATGCGTGATCCATCACATACTAAGAGTACTCCTAAGGGGTTCATACTTCCTTCACCTAGGTCAATAGGATACCAATTCATCTAGCATGCGATATAACAGACTTATAAACCTACGAACGGTACCCGAAACATCAAACTAGACATAGGCACGACAAACGGGGTCCGTTGGGACACCACGGGGATCGGGGAAACATCAAACGGGGAAGCCGAAGTCCCGAGTGGGGTGAGATTCCAGCGGGTAGCCGGTGGGTGGGGGTCCACCCGCCGGCTGCCCGCCGGCTGTCACTGTTCCGGGCAGCGGGTGCCCGGCGGGCAGCTGCCCGCCCGCCGGCTGCCCGCTGCCGGAGCTACCCGAGATTGCCGCGGGTAGGTGGCGGGTCCCCTACCCCCACCTACCCCCCACTGACTCTTTTCACCACTTTTCGTCCCGGGAACCGTTGTGGAACCCGAAACCATGCTTAGACACTTTTCAACGTAATTAACGACAACACATAGACAATTAACGGATCAAATACGATAAACGAACGGCACATAACCTAACATGCTTTTCTAATCATAATCAACACCCAAACATGCGATTTCCCACTCGATAATCCAAGAATAAGATCATACGATACAACTTAGGGTTCTAATCACTTTTATATCAACAAGAATACGGTTCGTCTTCTAATTGCAAGATTCGGTAGGAACAACACATAATCATCAAGGATACCAATTAATCATCAAGAACATCATAATCATCAAGAACAACACATAATCATCAAAATCCCAATTAAGCACATCATAATTATCAAGAAACTCCCAATATCAAGATTATCATGATTCCCCATGGAATCATTAAATCAACATCAATAATAATCATAGTAATTCGCCATTTACAATCATATGGGGGAAACCCTAAGGGGAAATCATAGCTATGAAAATAGGTTTTGTTGAGACATGGGTTACCTCTTAGCCTTAATTAATTCCTTGGCTATGAAGGATCTTTCTTTAAGCTTTCTTGCTTTCTTGATTTCTTCTAAGGGAATTCTTGGAGCTCTCCTGGGGTGGTGGGGCGTCTAGGCGTGTGGGGCTTCTAGGTGCTCCATAAGTTCCCTATTTATGGTGGCCTTTCTTCTAAGAGTTTAATCCTATTGGGGTTAGGGGTTGGGTTTATATATTTGGGCCCATGGGCTATGGTGGCCTTTTTCCCTAATTAATCATTATAATTTATTCTTTCTCCTGGGTTATTAATTAATTAATTAATCTGTTGGTTTTAGGATTCGTAACACGGGGTGTTACACTCTCCCCCCCTTAACAGGAAGCTTCGTCCCCGAAGCTTGGCCCCGGGTGAAAAAAAAGAAAGTTTTCTCTTAGTTACCTGGAGTGAACAGCTCGGGGTACCGCTCCTTCATCGTGTCCTTAAGTTCCCATGTGGCTTCCTCGGTCCCGTTGTTGGTCCAGAGGACCTTCACCATTTCCATGACTCGGTTCCGGGTATTTCTTGTTTTGGTGTCCAGGATTCTTACGGGTTTCTCTTCGTATACTAGTGACTCGTCGAGGTCCACGGTCTCGTGTTGGAGTACGTGGCTTGGATCGTATATGTATTTCTTTAGCTGAGATACGTGGAACACGTTGTGTACTCGTTCTAGCTCCACGGGTAAGGCGAGACGGTAGGCCAAGTCTCCGATTCTTTCCACGATTTCGTAAGGGCCGATGAACCGGGGGCTGAGTTTTCCTTTTCTCCCGAACCTCATTACCCCTCGTGTGGGCGAGATCCTTAGCCAGACCTTGTCCCCGAGGTTGAATTCGGCTTGTTTCCTCTTTAGGTCGGCGTAAGACTTCTGGCGGTCTTGGGCGGCCTTCATCCTTTCCTGGATGTGTTTGACCTTAGCTATGGTGTCTTGTAGGTATTGGGGGCCCAGTGTTACCGGGTTGACCATATCTTCCCAACATAATGGGGTTCTACATTTCTGACCATACAGTGCTTCGTAGGGTGCCATGCGAATGCTCGCGTGGTAGCTGTTGTTGTACGAGAACTCGATGAGGTCTAGGTGTTCTTCCCACGTCCCTCGGAAGTCGAGCGTGCAGGCTCTTAGCATGTCTTCGAGGGTTTAGATGGTTCTTTCGGTTTGGCCGTCTGTGGTGGGGTGAAAGGCTGTGCTTAGCTTTAGTTGCGTCCCCAACGCCGCTTGTAGTGATTTCCAGAATTGCGAGAGGAACCTGTAATCTCGGTTGGACACAATGTTTCGGGGAACTCCGTGGTATTTCACTACCCGGTTTACGTAAGCTTGGGCTAGTTGCGTCATCATCCATGTTTCTTTCATGGCAATGAATCGCACTGTCTTGGTCAGTCGATCCACTATGACCCAGATTTTATCCTTACCGGTTTTCGTTGGGGGTAGCCCTCCGACGAAGTCCATGGATATGGAATCCCATTTTCCTTGTGGTATTTCAAGGGGTTGTACGAGTCCCTTGGGTTTGCATCGTTCGGCTTTTACCCTTTGGCAATTCAGACACTTGGCCACAAAGTCTGCGATTTCCTTTTTCATATTCGGCCACCAAAACAATTTCTTTACGTCTTGGTATAATTTGTCACCGCCTGGGTGGACGGAGTAAGGGGAGTTGTGTCCTTCCTACAAGATCCGCTGTTTCAAGTGGGGGTGCGTTGAGGGTACACACCACCTCCCTTTGTAGCGGAGGCTGCCGTCTGGGTGTGCTTCGAAGGGGCCCTCTTTCCCTCGAGTTAGGTCGTGGCAGATTTTATCTAGTTCCGGGTCCTGTTGTTGTCCCGATTTGATTTCTTCGAAGAGGGTGGGCACGGCCTGTGTGTTGAGTAGATAGGCATTGGGGCGAGTTTGTCCCTGCTCTATTATTTCCAAGTGTAGCCTTTGGAAGTCCCTGTACAGATGGTCCGGTAGGACCCACGTGGTGTTAAGGGAATGATTCGTCTTTCGGCTTAGGGCGTCCGCCACCACGTTGGCTTTTCCCTCGTGGTATTGAATGTCTAGGTCGTAGTCCTTTATGAGTTCCAGCCATCTTCGTTGTCTCATGTTTAGGTCTTTTTGAGTAAAGATGTACTTCAGGCTCTTATGGTCGGTGTAGATCTTGCATTGTACCCCATACAGGTAGTGTCTCCAGATTTTCAGTGCGAATACGATAGCGGCTAGCTCGAGGTCATGGTGGGGTAATTCGCTTCGTGGGTTTTGAGTTGTCTGGATGCGTAAGCTATTACCTTGCCATTTTGCATTAGTACGCATCCTAACCCCTTCTTGGATGCGTCGCTGTAGACTTCAAACCCTTCCGATCCGGAGGGTATGGCTAGCACGGGTGCAGTGGTTAGTTTATCCTTTAATTCTTGGAAGGCCGAGATGCAGCCGTTGTCCCAACGGAAGGGGGTTTCCTTTTTCATGAGCTTAATGAGGGGTTGGGCTGTCTTGGTGAAGTCGGGTACGAACCTCCTGTAGTAGCCCGCTAGACCTAGGAAGCTTCGGACTTCCGAGAGTGAGTTCGGCGTGGTCCATTCTTTAACGGCGCGAACCTTAGCGGGGTCCACCCTAATCCCTTCTTTGGTTATCACGTGGCCCAAGAAGGCTACGCTGTCTTGCCAGAATTCGCACTTGGAGAATTTAGCGTAGAGTTGGTTCTCCCTGAGGGTTTGCAGAGATATGCGAAGGTGCTTCTCATGTTCTTCTTTATTTCGGGAGTAGACTAGGATGTCGTCAATGAACACGATGACGAAGTCATCCAGGTGAGGTCGGAATACTCGATTCATGAGGTCCATGAATATGGCAGGCGCG